GCACTTGCGACGCACTCGCGACGCACTCGCCCCGCACTCGGGGCGCACTCGGGGTGCACTCGCACCGCACTCGTTCTGCCCTCGGGCCGCACTCGCACCGCACTCGCAACGCACTCGATGCCGCACTCGAATTGCACTCGAGTTGCACTCGCGCTGCACTCGCACCGCACTCGTTTCATTTTTATAGGGGATGTCAGGGAGCCGTCACCCTCAGAGGGGGCGGGGCAATAGCGGCAGTGTAGCGGCACCCGGAGGGGCACCCGCGCCGCCGGCACGAATGGAAAATTGCCAATAAAAAACAATTAATGGGAAAAAGATTACATGCGCGCTGTCGGCGCGGCGGCGGCAGCGTTTTGCTCGCGCATTCCATTTGTTTTGATTTTGTTTCCCCGATATGTGTTGTTTTCATTCTGGTCGCCCGCAGGATGGGTCACACCCTCTGTGTATTCCTGCGCAGTTGCACTTGCATGCAACATCGCGTGTTAATAACACTGATTCTTCCATTGGGTTTTTCACGTCTCAACGTCTCAATTTTGAAGATATGGCTGGTACAAAACCGGGGACTGCTTCTCAGTAACGAATGAATAGTGGTGCGTGTCCTACTCTACTTCAAATCTGTCCCCTTTTCTCCTCTCCCGGTGCTTGCTGCTTCCCCCCTTTGCCTCGTCCTGTCTATCTCGCTGCGCCTGCCTGCTGACTTCCCGGTCATTTTGTCGTTTGGTAATTTCAATGATTAACTCAACGAATGCCCTGCGGACGGTTACGCGTGCGCGCGCTGCGTCTGGCTGGGGCGGGGCGAGGTGGGGCGGTTGTAGCCGACCGTGGTGGACCAAGAGCACCAGAGCACCACCCACAACCGCCTCGGCTCGCCCGTTCTCCATACGCGCGATGCTCCCGATACCTTTGTCACGCCGAACGGCGTAAACACAGAGGGACGCTACGCAACGTTCCCACGTGTGCGGGCGGCCCCGCCCCGCCCCGCCCCGCGCGGACGTCACCCTGACGTTATCGCCCCTCGTCGCTCTCGCCCGCTGCTGTTCTGCCCGCGAGCGACATTTGCATGCTATTTCCTGATGATGTGCGGACGGGCGACGACGGGCGGCGTACAGAGCGGCGTTTGCGTCGTGTCTTGTATGGCGGTGGTGTCGTCGCATTTGGGTCATTTATTTTACGATCGGGCCACGATCTGCGTCACGAAACACAACGCTCACACAACGAAGAGTGCCATTTTCAAAGCTTACCCCCTGACTCACGGTAAAAATACCAAAGTCGTAGTCCAAGTTTTGTTATACCGTGACTTGTTTACTTGGGTTATGTACTTCTGCCTTTTGAAACCGCTGGGCTCTCATGGCCGTGACCCGCGGCCAGCAGAAAAGTGTGAGATGCGTTTCTTTGTCGCTCTCCTTTCGTCAGGGCCCCAGTCAGGGACGGTTTTGAGGGCGCCTCTCTGCGGCAAACCCACGCGTGCCACCGCCGCTTCGGCCCGTCCTGTTGTGGGTAATTCTACCTGAAGTGATCAAATCAGAAACGCGCAAGGTCACAGTTTGTGTTAAAACTGTTATAAATAGGTTTATCTGACCAAAAAACGAAAACCATTTTGAGGATTTGCCCCGGAAATGACGAGGAACGAAATAAGAAAGAGGTAAAATGGGCGGCCCGCAGTGCGTCCCTGTCGCCCTTTTTCTGTCACTGTCGCCAAACTACTCGTCTCAGCACAAATTTGAGGGTAGCGTCGGAAAGTGCATGAAATTTCCTACAAGGTGATTATTTTTATCATTTTTACAAGATCTAAAATACATTTGAAAATGCCGATTGAAACATTCAAAACGACATCAAATTTGTAATCGTGGATCAATTTTTGAGTTACACCAATCAAAAAATGCGTCAGTCCTCAAAGAAAACACGTGCAAAAAGATAGGGAGGTGTTTTTTGATACTCCCGAAATATTAAAGATTTAGTGACTTTCGACGTGGATCGGGGACGCCTTCTGCTCGTCGGCCATGACAGGAGCGGTCGTCGCCAAACCAGGGCTGCGCGCGAGGCTACACACACTGCGCCGGCTGTTGATAAACACAATAGGCTTCGTCCAGCAATTATAATTTTGCTGCTAGTGCATTTGTGTGGTGATTTGATTGGAAACGAATTTATTTCGGATTATTTGGTGCTGATTTTGTTTTCCGTGATGGTCTATTTTTGTTGTCTCTTTTTTATCGTCCAAAGTAAGTTGCAATGCCAAGTTGCGGTTATGTTTCCCAGTGTACGTTTGGTGAAGTTTTACATATATTCTTTCAGAATGTCATAATTCATTTGTATGTATTGTTCTAGACTTTCCCAAATCTTGATTTTTCCTGACTGTGTTCTGGTGGAGTGAAGGTGTGGAACCGGTGATAATACCAACAATCTACAGAGTCGTGAAGGTACCTTTATTTGTAATGATGCTATTGTTTTCTGTAACCAAGCTTGAAGTTATGCCCTAATACATTCACTTATATTTCTCTCTTTTTAAGGTTTATACTATGTCTCAAACTGTGTGCTCTATTGGGAAAGCTGCTGTGGACAACATTGTCTGTACTGAAAATGACTACTCACGAGATAAACTTACTCCAGAAGAGTTACGTTTGCTTCGTTTAAGGACGGGCTCTAAGAAGAGAATAAGTGTCTTATGTAAGGCTCATGCCATAAATTATCTTTGGTCTTATGCAGCTAAGCAGGACCAATGCTGTGACCCGTTTCTAACCCATAGCAAGAAAAACAAAGTGAGTATAAATTAGCAAAGAACAAGTAGTCTGCATAGTTGTGGTAAACATACTTTTGTGTCACATATACCTATTAATGTAAATTCTTTTTTTCCAGGTGATACGAAGCGGAATAGAGTTTGAGATCAAGTTGGACCACAGAGATAAGGCAAAACTGCTCAATCTTGATCCTCCAGTAGACCTTATTCCAGGGAAAAGGCTGTGTATCTCATGCAAAATCTCACTGCTTAAAAAATTTAAAACAAATGGAATAGATGCACCTTCTGATATGCAGTCATCACCAAGCCAATCATCATCCACATCTGCCTCTGTACCTTCTCAGACTGTTCAGGAAGATCAGCATCCGCAACCACATAAACAGCCAAGTCCTGATTATATACACAACTCTCAGTCATGTTTGGAAAATTTAAATAATTGGCTTAAGTCAAATGGTGAAGAGGAAATAGATTTCCAAAAGCTCATCAAGCAAAAGACCTACTTAGTGCAGCAGTTGGACAAAGTAAATAGGGTGTTAAAAGTTTGTGCAAGTGTTGATGAAAGTGATACAAGTTCAGTTTCAAATTGGTATGAAAAATCAGTATTATACGATGAATTTGTTTATCAGTTACAAGAATATATTAAATCAAGTAAAAGCAAAGCTGATCACATTCATGCTTTAAGTGTCCTGCCTAGAAGTCTTTCTGTTGAAGAAATAAAGGCAAAGTTTCCTTCAGTTTCAAATAGACTTGCAAGAAGAACACAGGAACTCATTGATAAAACAGGTATTTTATGTACACCTAACAAGAAAATAGGGAGGCCAACAAGTACAGAGACCGTTCAACTAGTAACTGATTTTTATTTAAGACAAGATGTGTCAAAAGAGCAGGTCGGCAAAAATCAAGTAATTAGTATTAAAGGGAGTGACGGTAAGAGAGTGAGAAAACAGAAGAGGCTGCTCCTAGGAAATATTGTACATTTGCATCAAGAGTTCATGAAGGAATTTCCCAATTGTGAAATATCTTTTCCCAAATTTGCACAACTTCGCCCCAAGGAGTGTGTGCTTGTGTCTTCTAGTGGAGTGCATAATGTGTGTGTGTGTGTTCACCATGAGAACCCAGAACTAATGTTCCATGGTGCACGTTTGAAAAATATGACCCTTTTCAAAAGATCAACTGATTGTTTAAAAATATTAATGTGTTCTCCACCTTCGGTTGATTGTAATCTGAGAACATGTAAGGAGTGCTGTGGTAAGAGTAGTGAACTTCGTGACCAATTGTTGCCCTTATTTGATCAAAGTTTTATTGAGGATGTGACCTTTAACCAATGGGAGAATACTGACCGAGCCAACTTAGTGACAATCACCTGTTCTGTTGAAGAATTTGTTGAGCGCTTCATTAATCAGTTACAAGAACTAATCCCGCATCACTTCATTTTTAAAACCCAAGCTGAATATTTCCGGTCACTGCAAGCAAATCTGGATGAAGGAGAAATTCTGGTGGTTGGTGATTTTGCAGAAAATTACTCCTTTGATGTTCAAGATGAGGTGTATGCTTACTATTTTGGTTCCAAAAAGCAATGCACAATCCACCCATTTAGTGTTTATTTTAAGGGCTCTGAAACTGATGAGAAGAAGCAATATTCATTTGCTGTCATTTCAGATTGCATGGAGCATAATTCAGTAACATTTTATACTTTCCAAAAAAAACTTATTGACCACTTAAAAGAGAAGTATAATATTGAAAAAATATATTATTTTTCTGATGGTTGTGGGGGCCAATACAAGAATAGAAAAATGGCTGCTAATTTATGTTATCATGAGAGAGATTTTGGAATTAAAGCAGAATGGAACTTTTTTGCCACTGCCCACGGCAAGTCTGCTTGTGATGGTATTGGAGGTTCAATTAAAAGACGTGCCTCTGAATTTGCTATGGTGAACAAAGACCCTGGTGCTCAAATCACAACAGCATATAAGTTATATGAATGGTGCCTAAAGAATGAGAATAAAATCCATCCCTTGTGGGTTTCTAAGGCTGAAGTAGGCCTAAAAGCTGAGTTTCTTGCTGTCAGATATGAGGGAGCCCTCCCCATTGATGGAATACAATCAATACATCAAATTACTCCAGAAGGGGAAAATTTTGTTATCCTGAAAAGGTATTCTGCTGCTCTACATGGTGAGAGAAGAGAAATATCAAGAGCTGAAGAGGGTGTCAGTTGGGAAAATATTAGAGGATTTGTCATATTTTGGGACAAAAGGGAACCAAAGTGGTACCTGGGAACTGTTCAAGAAAAACATGAAGATACTGCAAGTCTTTCCATTGAGAAACTACAGTTGAAAGAAAATAGAAAATATGATTATGAATATCCTGATAATGAAAGTTCAACCATCTATCAAGCAGATTGTGTATTAATTTTGCCAGAAACAACAATTATGGCAAAAGGCACACTGGTCAGGATTAAAGCAGCTGAATCTAAAGTAGCAGATGCTGTTCTCAAGAAAAAAACTTTGAGTGTCTCTTGACTTGTCGTTACTGTGATTACTGTACCTTGTTTTCCTCGAGTGGTAACAGCAGTGATTTATATTTGTGATTTTGATCAGTGATTTTACTGTTTATATACAGGAATAAGTAAATAAT